TGGTACTCCTTCATCTTTATTATCTTTAAATTGAACTGTTCTTTGTCAGTTCATGATTTTCATTTGGATAAAAAGAATCTTTTGGCATTTGCATTATTGCATGTAATGTTATAATTCTGAGATCCTTGACGATCAAGAAAAAAGAAAAGATAAGGATCATCTCGGTATGGGTTAGGCAATATTTTATGTACATTATTTGGATTTGTGTATCGCTCATTGCATAAATAAATTCATTTGCTTAAAATATAAGAGGGAAGCCAACGATTATTTATCTCAAAATGATTCATAATATACATTTGATTAGGCTATGTATAGTTCAAAATCTGTTGAACAATGAAACATCTTCTATGGAGGATTTTGATATATTACTTTGGAGCTTAGTTTAACAGAAAAAATTTCCATTGCAACTATATTTCTAGTAGAAAGAACTTAAAAGTAAAATACATTACCAATAATATAGGTAAATTAGTCCTTTAATTAAAACTCATAATATATTACCAAGTTTATACAAGTTTGGTTATAATTATTTTTTTTAAATGTTAAAATTATTCTTTTAAAATAAGTTAATCCAAACACTGCCATTATGAGGTATATGACCTAAGAATAATAATTACTTATTTTCTTGTTTGTTATTATTAAAATAAACATTACATATTTTTTTAACTTTTAGTTAGTTATTGTTTCATTTTATTATTTTAAACAATTTAATTAGGAGAATTATTGATGGTTAAGGAATTTTGAACAATTCAATTGCACAAAAAAATTATTATATTTTTTCAAAAATAACATGATTATCACAAAAAAAGAAGAAGATAAAAGGCAAATATGATTCAATACATACCAACACTACCAATCTGAGTTAGCCATTACAACCTGAGCATGACAATAGCAACTAAAATATATTTAGCATATTAAGTCAAAATAAATGACTCTTACGAAAAATAATAATCTGTTAATTTAATTTTTAAAATTGAGTTTAAATTGACATCCAATAATAAACTATTATTCATTAAAATTTAAAATATAATAATAGTTTATTTTAATAAAAATGTATTATTTCAAATTAAATGCTTAAACTTAAAATTAAGATTATCAAAACCAATAATATAAAGAAAAAGAAAAAGAAAACTTAAGCTTTAATTTGGTAAATTCAATATGCTCTTCTCACCTTGAATATATCTTTGAAAAATTGACATATCAATGAGATCACTGGGTTAAGTTAACTATTGGTGAGCAAGGACAAACCTTCAAGGGGCAAGAATCTCTTGCACATTCTTTCAATCTATTCAGTGAGGATTATGCTGAACACTGAATGGCATTGGTCCAAAAAGACAAGGACAAATTCCCTTTTTTTGAGAAAATTTTTTAAATATGTTTTGGCTTAATTTGCACGACTCTCTTGCTTCTCTTCTCTTGCTTGTACTGGGTCAAATAAGCTGCACGCATATCCATTTTTATCATTATTTTTAAATGCTGACAAGTGTAGTTAAAGAATGAAAAATAGATATACTCATTTATAAATATTTTAAATATATTTTAACATAAATTTTTAATAAAAATTATTCTTTATTAATTTTTCATCAACATTTAACAAATTATTTTTAACATGCTTATAAAAAATCCTATTTAATATTTGTTCTGTTTGTTTAAGTATATATCTCATCTACGTTATAATATAACTATTATATTTTGTATTATTTTTATTTTTATTTTTTATCTCTACTTTTTTTTTCAAAATCATATTTTTGATTTTTTTATTTATTTTAATTATATAAATTTTATGATTAATTTTATCAATCATATTCTAAAAGATGAAAAATAATCACGATAATGACTTATTTAAAATATGATAATAATTAAAAATAAAAATGATGATTAAATATTAAATATAGTTAATTAAAATAAAATTAACTTATTTAATTATATTGAAAATTTTAAAAATCAAAATAAAATAAATTTAAAAGATTAAATTAAAATAAAAAATAAAGTTAAAATACTAAATTGTAAAAAAGAAAAAGAAGTGAAGATCAAATTCTAATTTTATTTATTTTTTAATCATATCACCTATCACGTTTTGCTTATAAATTAGGTTTTTTTTTTCTAAATATAAAATAAAAATTTGAGAGACATCTTATTTTAGTAAAAATTTGAAATATATCTTTTTTTTTTCTTTATAAATTAGTCAAAGTGGTGCAATTTAAATTCAAAAACTATAAGAGTAATGTAACTTATATTTAAAACTGAAGTCGAAAGAACATAAATCGCTTAAAGACAATATAATATATGTTTGAAATTGTAAATGATTTATATTTCGTGTAAGTTTTATTAACTTTATACATACTGATATTACTTTGATTGACTTATGTTCTATGCTCTAATTTTATGTATAAGTCATCATTTTTATGTGACATGTTTCATTTAAGTCTCTACAATTTTGAGCATAAATCATACTTAGATTAATTTAGAGTTCTGACTTCTTGCACAAATCAAGTTATTATTGCACAACTAATGTGTAAAATTTAAGTCACGTTATCTTGTCTGAAAAAATCCTTTAGTGCTATTAATTCATTAAATTTTATAATTTTAACAAAAAATAATAGTATACATTTTTATTATATAAATTTAATTATACATTAAAATTTTAATTTTCATAAATTGAAGTATTTTAAATAAAAAAGTGAAATTTTATTTATCTTTAATTTAAATGAAAATATTTTATAAATATAAATAATTTAAAATTAACAACTTCAAATATTTTTATGAAACCTATTTTCTAATAATGTATCAGCAACAATTCCGTTGGCTAATGGACACACCTGGTCAGCATGAAAGAATGAACCGTCACATTGGTTTCTGGTCGAATATTGCCCGAGACTATGTTGCCTCCAGAGTCCAGTAGAAACAACAGAAGGGTGTACGGATTTTGGGGTGCAAACCTTTAAATTAAAAAGTTAAATAAGCAAAATGATCACGAGACACAGTGCATGAGGTGTTTATTTCTTCTTTCTTGGGTTACAAATTTCTTCTTCTTCTTTCTCCCATATCTTATAAACTAAACCTAATGTATAGAATATTTTCATAGTCATAAGCTAAATAGGAATTGGGTACAGAGAATTACAAGAAGCTCTTGTAACATGGCACGTTTCTGCTTTCTGCCATGTGCTGTCATTTGTTTGGTCACATTATGCTTATCCTTTGCAGAAAGGTACCGACCTTTTCATCGTACACTTAACCGAGCTTATTTTTGTTTCTTTATTCTATCTAAATTCTACAGGCTATTTATGCAATTGCAAAACCCTTCCTGAGTAATTTGGTTCTTGTAAATGAATAAGCATAATTGCTTTTTCTTGTCATATTAGAAATAAATCGGAAATATAAAAATTGATTTAAAATTTTTGTTATATTGATTTAAATTTTGAATATCTTGTTCAGTCAATTCAGAATAAACAGGCACAAATTCATTTTAAACAGAAAAATTGAAGATTTATATATAAAAAAAAATTATGATTAAAATTTAATTAATTTTATAATTTATTATACATTTACAAAAATTTAATTATGATAAATTTAGTAGCTAATTTTTAATGAATCATTATAACTCTTTACCTCCTATTTAGGCGAGGTATACGTTTAAGATTTTTAAATTAGCCAAATAGAATGTACTTTTTAACTTTTTGTTCTTAAGTTGTTGAAGTTATATGTAACTACAAGGAAATTCTCAAACTGTTTTACTTCTTAATTACACGTGATTTAAAATCTCATTATCCTAATTAAAATAAGAAAATCTATTTTATGAAATTATTTTTGGTTGAACAACACACAAATGTATCAAAATCAAGGTTAATGCATTTGTGTTTTACCAGGTAAATGTAATTTCTATCTGTTATATTTCTACTGACGGGGTGAGGGTGTGTGGTTTTCTATCACGTCATTCATGTATTTTAAAGTGGAAAGAGATGTAAAATAAAAAAGAAATACTTATTGTTAATTTAAATTTAAGTATTTTATAAATATAATTAATTTAAAAATAATAATAAATAATTTTTTTAATTTTGTAATAATACTGCTCTTAAGATATAAAATGATATTCACATAGTCAATTATTATCATATCTTATGAATGCTTTTAATATTTTATTATTCTACAGAAAATCAAGTAAAGTAGAAATATAACTAATTACTCAAACTTATAAAATAATGTAGTTAAAGATAACTTTAAAATTATAATTAAACGATTAAGAATTATAATAGTTACGGCCCACACTCATATTGGCTTTTTAAAAGCAAAAATATGATAAGACGTGTGCTAAATGAGCTGGTTATTAGAATCATTAGAACAGATAAAAACAGGAATTCTGGAATGGAATTTGCTAGAATGGCATTCCATTGAGGCAGGAAAAAGTAAACAAATATTTTCTGCCTTAAGTCTAAAATCACTTGACCATATCTTTTTAAAAGTCAGTCTAATTCGAAAGTATATTTAAAAAATCTACTTTATAACAAAATTTATTAAATAAAGTTACAAACCTACTTGGTTTAATGGCTAAATATTTATATATAAGTAATTGAATTTAAGCCTTTAAATAAAAAAATAAATAGATAATTTCAAATAATAATAATATAAATACTATAATCTGTTAAATCAACATATTTTTTTTAATACCCTGATATATAATATTTTTAACTAAATAAGCTTTTAAAGAATTCTTAACCTAGCTTGTATTTACCAAATAAGCTCAGCTTGACCTGGACTCGGTGAGTTAGGCGATAGACTCAAACACAAATATACATGTACACAAACAATCTCGTTAAATTATATAGCAGATATATGTTATATATATATGATTAAAGCAAACCCCCCCAAACCAAGGATATGGAAGGGGTAAAAGAACCTAATTTGTTTGGTTGAATTGTGCTAAGAAACCGACAAATATAAGTAAAAATTCCTTCTTAAACACGGCATTAATTATTGAAACCAGAACTCCATCTAAACAACGATGCAACAGAAACTCATCAAAGGCCTACGTCATGTTAGTACAATATGAGCCAAAATCATTTTGCCAATGATGTTTCTGATGCAAGAAATATTCGAGTGAAAGTTGAATGTTGTTGTAAGTGATGATTTCACTCCTCAACTTCTGCATTGAGTCTTGTAAGTGCTTGGGATTTTAACACGACTTCAAAAAAATATATTGGGGGGCCTCATATTTCTGGTTGGAAATGGTATATATGTGTCCAAATTCGTGAGGAGATTGTGTAGAATTAATATAAACTGAACCGTATAGTCCCCTCTACAGGCTTAGCTACTGCTAACCTTTCTCGTTTATTGATTTCTGAAATTACATATATCTCAAATTTATTGTTTTTATCCTCTTGTATTTTAGTTGATAAATATAGGTGCGATCTTGTTTTATAGCGGTTTTGCATATGTGTTGATTACTGGGGTAGGTCAGGGAGGGAGGCTCACATAAAAGGCATCATTGCTCAAACCACAAGAAGCTATAAGCCACATACCACATCATTTAAAACACCTTTTCTTCAATGGAGCCTAATGCCTCCAATATGGATTCCCATTGCTTAGAAATGACCATGGAAATACACCAAGTTGTTCCACCACCCCACAAGAGCACCCTACAGAAGCTCAAGGCCAGACTCAAGGAAACTTTTTTCCCTGATGATCCGCTTCGCCAATTCAAAGGTCAACCACTTCAGAAAAAACTAGTCCTTGCTGCTCAATATGTGTTTCCTATTCTTCAATGGGGTCCTAAATACAGCCTCAAACTCTTTAAATCTGACCTTATTGCTGGCCTCACTATTGCTAGCTTAGCCATCCCACAGGTTGTTCATTAAGTTCTCTACTTTAGTCATAAAAACATTCATAAATCTTAACTTGCTTATCTTATTCAATTATGCACTTTTCATTCAGGGAATCAGTTATGCTAAACTTGCAAATCTTCCTCCAATTGTAGGACTTTGTAAGTGTATTTATTTATTTTATAATTTGTGCTTAATTTATGTTACATGCTTATGATCTGGTCTTGCATATATTTCAGATTCTAGTTTTGTTCCCCCACTTGTTTATGCTGTTCTTGGAAGCTCAAGGGACCTTGCTGTAGGACCTGTTTCTATTGCTTCTCTTGTGTTGGGATCCATGCTGAGAGAGGAAGTGTCTCCCACAACAGACCCAGTTTTGTTTCTTCAGCTAGCTTTTACTTCAACATTATTTGCTGGTCTCTTTCAAGCTTCTCTTGGAATTCTTAGGTAATTACTTCTATATTAGGCAGATTTTAATTCTTTTGCAATATGAATAAGTATATGAACTGTTGTGTTAAATTATTACAGGCTAGGATTTATCATTGATTTTTTATCTAAGGCCATCCTGATTGGGTTCATGGCTGGAGCAGCTATAATTGTTTCTCTTCAACAGCTCAAGAGCTTGCTTGGAATCACACATTTCACAAATCAAATGACACTGGTTCCTGTCATGAGTTCTGTTTTTCACAATACACATGAGGTTACTTATTACTCGTTTACTTTTTTTACCCTCCCAGCGTGACACACCAAACACACCACACGGGCACACAGAATTCCAATTGCTACCCATTTCTTGTCTTTTGGCTAAAATGGAGTTATCTCTGTATTCTCTCTTACAGAAAAGTTATTTGTGATTTTTCTGCAGTGGTCATGGCAAACAATATTGATGGGCATTTGCTTCTTGGTGCTACTACTATTAGCAAGACACGTCGTACGTTATTTTCTCTTCAATCATTTCTTTCTCTTTTTCTTTTTTGTATGCACTTTTTTTTGTCTTACTAGAATTTATTTCCCACACACACCACTCAAGTCACTTTTAAGAAGCAACTTAACTTCCAAGAAACAGGACAAGACCACATAAAGACACAACTGAAATTATCATCATGGCACACATTTTTATTTTATTTGTTATTTATCTTCGATTATCATTATGACAGTACTGCAATAATTTTTTGATCTCTCTTTATTGCATTAATTAATTATCCTATACTATATTATTATATTTTTCTTTCTTTATGATGGAATAAATTATAATTAATAATAATATATCATATTTTTATACATCTCTACACCCCATTTATCTCGTTTTTTTCCTTATTATGTCATTTATTATCCTTTTCACTTTCAATCTTTACTGGATTTATGGTGCTACTTGAATGTGAAATGAACATGTACCTTACAACATGGTTTCACGGGCACCTATTATCAAACACATGGAGGCCCCCTATGGCTCAGGGTTGTAACACCTCAGGGCCACCACACTGACACAGTTGATTCGAAGTCGTGTAGTAATCTTCAAGATCATCCTGTATTAACCTGAACCCGTACACCGGACGACTTTCTTGGCCAAGTTCAGCAATCATGAATATCTTACAAAAATGCTGAATAATATGAAACTGTTTTCTTTGCGTTGAAACTGTAAAATAACACACATTTCTTTTATTTCTGTCAAAATTTTCTTTTTTTATTTTATACTTAATCAATAAAAAAATATACATATTTAGTAATATAAAGATAATGTTTTTTACAATTTGGCACTCCTCTAAAATATATTACATCTCTTAGAATAGTTTTATTAACCTTTATATAATTTTATAAAAAAATATGTTAAATATAATATAAATAAATTTAACATTTTCTTCATTTAATATATAATAAAAATGTTATAAAAAAATTTGTAATTATTTTAATATATTTCATCAAATATTTTTAATTAGTAAAAAAGAATATTAAATAATTTTGTATCATACTTTTTTTAATTTCTTTCTGCTTTTACAAGATATGAAAATTATAAGCTTAGTTATTGAATTCAATCCACCTGTATGTTTTGGTGGAAATATTTATTTACTCCTAAGCATTAGTTTTTTTTTTTTAAATGTAAAAGTCATTAGTTAAATTATACAATTTTACTCGTATGCGCTTATAATCATATTTGCAATTTTTTAAAAAATATATTATTTATATAAAATTTTATATAATATTATTATTTTTATTTGTTCCTACAATATCAATGATTTTTTTGGAAACTTATCTTCATTATGTTTTTTTATTATATTAAATTATATACTCATATTTTATTCTATATATTTAATAAAAAAACTATTGAACTTTTTTAAGCGAAATCAGGAATATTCTCCAGAAATATATTAGTTTAAAAAAGTTTGGCTCACTGATTTTTTTTCCATATATTCAACATTTTTTAAAAAATTATTTTCACATTGATTGCATTATTTTTTATTACATTTTTTAATCCTTTTCTTTTTATCCTAAAATGCATAAATACCATGATGAGAAATAAAAATTACTCTTTTAGAATAAATTGTAATTAAAGGTTTGACTTTTCTTATAATATGATGACTAATTTGAATAAGTTATAAAACATTTTTCAATATAAAAAATTAATTTAGTGACTCACGGTAGTAAAACTCAAGTGTGTGCTTGGAAAATTACCTAGAAAGGGCAAATGTGCACGTCTAATGGATAAGTAACTTTCACATTAATCGGAAAAATTAACACGTAGTAAATGATTATAGTATTCTAATAGCAAAGTATTTTGAATTTAATAAGTTATAGATTAATTTTTTACTTATTTTTTTATGGTGAGATGTAAGTTTTTTTTATAGGTATTATCTAAGTCCGGAAACTTTTTCTATTTTATACTAAAATATTATCTCATTACTCTAAAGTATTTGGTATAACAAAATATTTAATAAATATTTTAAATTATTTAAAAAAAATAAATATTACATAACTTTGATATTTACAATAAAATGTACATTTTTCTTTATTTTCTTTTTTAATGAGTATCACAAAAATATTCATTAGCATCTGTCATAGATTTTAATTTGAAGTAATTACCCTCTCTTTTTGGATCAAATTTTGAAGGATTTAACTTATGTTCTGAAGGCATACACCAAGCCTAGAAATATCCTTCTAGAAACAATGGTGGGGAGCAAAACCTAATGCAAATAAATAATAAAAAATGTATATATTATATGAGAAAATATGAATAAAATTTGAAAAACTTAAATTAAAATATAAGCTTTTAGAACTTTTAATTTTAAAATAATTAACGTTATTTTTAAATTTCATTCGTAAGCATGTTATCATATTTAATTTTATTTTGAAAATTTTGAATATTCATTAAAGAAATCAAGGAAAACTAAACATTTTCTTTTATTGATTTTTAAGAAAAGTGAACAAATAGACATGTACATAAAACTGCAAGCTGAATTACGGCGGCCAAAAATTGTCTGATCAGTTAAACGCATTTGACCTACAAAGAACCATTTAAAAAATGGCTGTCTCACCAAAGTCTACGAAATCGTTACAAATATTGCCAGTTTGACTAAATTTTATTTTTAATTATTATTATTATATATAAAACATGTTGATATATATCAATATTGAATATTTATAAATTTTAATTACATTTTATAAAAGAAAAAATTAATTAATTCAATAATTCAATTGTTAGTTTGAATTATTTTATTAAATAAATTAATTTTATAAAAAATTATTAAATACATTATCTCAATGTTTTATTTTAATGATAATATATTTTTAAAATATAAATAAATATTATATTTTAAATGACATATTTATAAATTTTAAAATTATATGAAATTTGATATATTTTAAATATCTTTTAACATGTATTTTAACAGTAAAATAAACGATCCTAACTATTGAGAAGATTTATTTTACTCAGGTTCACTGACATACACCAACCACAGGATTGAAAGTGACGCAGCATGGTGTGTTGTATAATAAAAAGACTATTTTTTTAATATGTATAATATTATACAAAATACAAAATTATATATAGTAGTTTTTTAATAAAAATTTACAAAATATAGTGTAATTAAATACATTAATACTATTAAATATTATAATTTTTAACAAAAAATTATTATATATATAATCTTATATTGTACAATACTGTACATGTTAAAAAAAACCGTCAAATAAATGTTTCCAACATAATCTTTGATAATTTTTTTATTAATTGCTGAGCATTGTTTGGTTTTGTCTTAAAAATTTGTCCCGTTTTTTCTTAGCAGGATTTACCTGGTAATAATAAAATGTATTCAAAAGAATTTTTCAAATAAATAAATATTAATATTTTTCTTTTAATAATTTTTTATAAATAGTATTTATGTAGTTTTTTTTGTTTTCAACTTAAGCTAAAACCAAATTACATTTTTTTTTTATGTTCTTGAACAGGCCTGTTTGAACTAATGACAATTACCTGCAAATCTTGGAAAGTATCCATTAATGACAATTGCCTGCATATCCTAACTTCTCGCTATTGAGTACTTAAAATGACATAGTCATGTTTCTGATGCATATGTGGTGTGCCACTTCCCTCAAAACGATTGCAGGGTAATACTATTAAGAAATTTTTTGTAAACACAATTTAATTAAGTATTTATTCAATAAATTTTTTTATACCAAATATCTATCTATATGTTTTTTAGTAAGCTAAAAATAACATTGTGATAGACTATTTTGAATAACTTGTTTGAAATAAGTTAAAAAATTGTCACCAAGATGCTAAGTTATATTCATAAGCTTTTATAAACTCTTCTCAAAGGGACCTAACTTGCATCAAAATAATTAAATGCGCGCAGAGTATAAGGAAACCAAAGCTATTTTGGGTCTCAGCTGGAGCTCCTCTCGTGTCTGTCATCATCTCTACTCTTCTTGTTTTTGCAATTAAGGCTCAAAATCATGGCATCAGTGTAGTAAGCCACTGCTCTCATCCGAACTCTTACTATTGCTTCTAAAATCATTAGTATGGTAGCACTAGCAGTATTTGAGACAGGTAAAAATCACTATCAGCTTAATTACTTAGCAAATGTACTTGTCTTCTTTTATTGTTGCTAGATTGGAAAATTGCAACAAGGTATAAATCCTCCTTCGTGGGATATGTTGAGCTTGCATGGAAATCACCTATGCCTAGTCATGAAAACTGGCCTTATCACTGGCATTTTGTCCCTCACTGTAAGTTTCACATTTTTCTTTTTCCTCTTTTCTTTTATTTTATTTCTGACTTTCTTTAATTTAATTTAATTTTAATCATGCTCTAAAGATTTGGAAGCATCTGAAATAAATTTTTAATAAAAAAATTCTAACAACATACTTTCTAACATATTCTTTGTAAAAATTCATTTGGATCCAAATGAATAACACAAAGTCTAGTGGAACATACTATAATTCCATCCAATAATTGAAAATGTGTAACATACAATATTTACCCCTCTATAGTTGGTTTTATGAGTGACACAATGGATAAGTGATTTTTTTAACAGGAAGGTATTGCAGTAGGAAGGACTTTTGCATCTCTCAGAAACTACAAAGTTGATGGAAATAAGGAAATGATGGCAATTGGGTTTATGAATGTGGTTGGCTCCTTCACTTCCTGCTACATTACCACAGGTTCTCTTTTGTGTCCTAAAAACCTTTCCAAATGAAGACTAATAAATCATAAGATTGAGTAAATGAGTGGTGGCATCAGAAGCACATACTTACACATGTACAATATGAATTTCAGGTGCTTTTTCCCGCTCAGCTGTTAATAACAACGCAGGTGCAAAAACAGCTGCGTCAAATATTGTGATGTCTGTGACAGTGATGGTGACACTCCTTTTTCTTATGCCATTGTTTCAATACACGCCTAATGTTGTATTGGGTGCAATCATAGTCACTGCAGTAATTGGCCTCATTGATATCCCTGCTGCTTGTAGCATTTGGAGGATAGACAAATATGATTTCCTTGTGATGTTGACTGCTTTCTTGGGTGTTGTTTTTATCTCTGTCCAGGAAGGTCTTGCTCTTGCAGTAAGTTCATTTATCATTGTGAACATTATTATTACAGATTTGCTTGATACCAACAAGGCTATATACAGCTATGTTACAAGGAAAATGTTAATAAGTTTTTATTAAGAAAGGAAGCATTTATTACATTTTTTTTATTTTGTTTTCCAATAAAACCTTACTATATTAGTATATATGTATGCTCAAACTTGGTCCTAGAAGCTGAAATTTTAGTTTTTTCTTGATAAAGGTTTTAATTCCCTTGACAGTTGATACTTGTAGTTGTAGCTTTTAGTTCTTGCCCAACAACACCAAGTGCTTTTACATAAATCTTATTTCTGCATTTTAAACAAGGAAGTGACTAGAATACAAAGAAAACCTTTTTCTGTGGACGGTTTCAGCACCCTTCTTTGTATGTAGAACAAAATATAGGAGTTCTTTTTAATTGACAAAGGGGTGGCAATGATATTGATCAGGTCGGGTTATCAATATTTAAGATACTCCTGCAAATTACAAGGCCTAAAACAGTAATGTTGGGGAAGATACCAGGGACAGACATATATAGAAATCTTCATCAATATAAGGATGCCACAAGAATACCTAGTTTTCTTATTTTAAGCATTGAGGCTCCCATCAATTTTGCTAACATCACATATCTCAACGAGAGGTTAGTTTCAACTTTGCAAATTTTATCAAGTATGTGAATCTCATTTTGGTACATTAATATCGTTTTCACTGTTACTTAATTATTGGTATGCTATATTAGAACATTAAGATGGATTGAAGAAGAAGAAGAAGACAACATAAAGGAACACTCGAGCCTTCAATTTTTAATTTTGGAAATGTCAGGTAATGAGTTTCTGAAAGGTGACGTTTCATGTTGTCTTGATTTCTTGTGAATCCCTTTTCCAACTATACAACATTTCCGTTTTTAATTACTTAATATCGGATTGTTGACCAAGGAAAAGAGAAGTGCTAATAAGACTATAAAATAATCAATTTCTAGCTGTAATATATTGATGTTCTCACCTCCCACACGTACATTTAAGTTCCATGGGTGCACCTAGCATACTGGTCTTATTAGTAGGTTAAGGAGTACATAATCACTTGTATGTTTACATTTTCACACAAAGCAGTTTTGAGTTGGTTACAGTGTAATAGTATTTTGACAATCTACTTTCTCCAAGCCTATCAGTGAACATATTTCATGATTTCATCTACTTTCATACCCTGCACACGGTATTCATCCAATTAGAAAATTAATGAGTATCACATCTCTTTGAAATTATCAGCCGTGAGCGCCATAGACACAAGTGGAGTCACGCTTTTCAAGGAATTGAAAGGAACACTGGAAAAGAAGGGTGTTGAGGCAAGGATGCTAAACTTACACTAATTTATTTACACACCTTGATAGATACATCTCAAATCTCAACTTTGACTAATTCATTTGAGTTGTGACAACAGCTTGTATTGGTGAATCCTCTCGCTGAGGTCATAGAAAAGCTGAAAAAAGCAAATGAAGCTAATGATTTCATACGAGCGGATAACCTTTTCTTGACAGTTGGAGAGGCTGTAGCTTCACTTGCATCAGGAATGAAGAGTCAACCATCAACCAGTACAGAAGGGGCACATACAGTTGTGCCACATTACTGAAAATTTAGATTACAGAATATACTTCAAAAGTAAAAATATAATTATGTATCCTCTCCCTCCCCCCCAAAAAAAAAATTAAAGGAAGTAACAGCAGCAGCAGCATGTCTAGCATAGAATTCGGATAAAAAGTAATACCCGACCGTATGATTAAAATGAAATGCAACTTTGCTTCTGCTTAGTAAATTTGACTCGCTAGCTTTTTGACGATAAATAGGAACATCTCATTTCTTTTTAATTCAAACATTCAAGTTGATTTTCATACACTCTTCAGTACATCTGATTTGGCAAACTACTTGCGAGGATCATAATTTATTATTGCAGCAAGCAGCTTATCCCACATAGCTATTGAAATTTTGATTTTTATTGCCAATGGTCGTAGCTTTTGAAGGGTTCTATCAAGACTTTGGGATGAAGTACGAGGGAAGGAGGTTTTCTAAACTTACCAAAAGCAGAGTATAAATTTATACTATATTTAGAAAAAAATTAAAAACTCTTTTAAAAATAGAAAACAAACATACCCTTAAATTAATTTAAATGAATTAAGGATGAAGAAGGAAAAATTTTAGTTTTGGATCAAGACATCAAAGATCAATAAAATTTCTACAAACTTTTTAATGAAGGAAAAAGAGCAAATGAAAATTTAACAGGATTAGACATGCAAACGAACAAGCTAAATTTAACATTTGAGTTGAAGAAGTAAAAGAAGCTCTTAAGAAGATGAATTAAAAAAGTTTGAAAAATTAAGAACTAAAGTAACTAACTAAACTCTTTAATGAGATTTTGAGATCTAAGAATAAAACAGAAGAATGGATGAAGAGCACTTTGGTTCCTATATACAAGAACAAAGGTGATATTCAAAATTGTGCAAACTATAGAGAGATTACACTCATGAGTCACATTGATTAGTTATGAGAAAAGGTAATTGAACATAGAATATGAAAAGAAACTGAGATTGCAAAAAATCAATTTGATTTTATGTCAAGAAGGTCTACAACAAAATATATATATCTTCTACAAAAAGATGATAGAAAAATATCCCTACAAGGAAAAGGATTTACACATGATTTTTATTGATTTGAAAAAGGCATATGATCGGGTATCAAAAGAAGTGTTATAGAAGGCTTTAGAAAAGAAAGGAGTTTGTTTCGCACATATTCGGGCTACACAAGACATGTATGAGGGAGTAATTACATGTGTGAGAACTTCTAGAGACATATCTAAGGACTTTTCCATTGGAATAGGTTTACATGGCTCCGCTTTGAGTCCTTACTTGTCCTCGATGCATGTTATTTGCAGATAATGTAGTGTTGGTCGAGGATTCAAAAAAGGAAGTTAATGTTAAATTTGGATTATGAGGGGAGACTTTAGAATCTAAGGGTTTTCGCTTGAATAGAAGTAAGACAGAGTACATGTATTATATGTTTAACAAAAAAATAAGATGAGGATCATGCATTGAAAGTTAAGCTTGGAGAGGATATTATATCACAAGTTTTCAGTTTTAGGTACTTTACATGGATTATACAAAATGATAGGAAAATTAATGAAGATGTTAGTCACATAATAAAAGTTAGGTGGTCAAAATGGAGAAATGCATCAAGAGTTATTTGTGACTGTAAAGTAGCTATCAACCTAAAAGGAAAGTTTTACTATACTGTAATATGACTAGCTATCCTATATAATAGTGAATGCTAAGCCTTAAAGGAACAATATGAGAAAAAGTGAGAGTGATAGAAATGAGAATGTTAAGGTAGATGAGTGGACACATGAGAAAAGATAGAATATAAAATGATAGTATACGAACGAATATTGGATTAACACCTATAGTAAAAAATATGACTGAAAATCGTATAAGGTAGTTTAGTCATGTGCAGAGAAGGCCTTTAGAGGTGAAAGAGGAGGCAAGAAAAATTTAAAAGAACTTGAGACGAAGTTATCAAACGAAATATTTGGATTAACTGGATTTCTAAAGGTTTAGTTTTTGACCGAACTAAATGGCGTCATGTAATTCATGTAACCAACTTTACTTAATGAGATAAAACTTAGTTATTGTTGTATTGTTAATGGCTATAGCATGTTAAACAAATTATTTAAAGGTCAAAGCAATGTTTTATGCTAACATCAATAATGTTGACAACCTTAACTGCAATAAGATAACAAGAGGATCAAAATGTATGTCTATGCAAGTGTGAGTTGTATACTCCCTTCTAAAATGTAAAATCAAACAGAATTTACAAGATCTTAGATGGTGCAGGAAAAGAATAGTAAGAACTTTATAAAACTCAAAAATACATTATTTTAAAATATAAATACCTTCTCGTTGAGCCCTCTATGATCCTACTCCACATTGCACTTTTCAATTTCTAATCATGCGAAAAAAGCATTTATGCTCCATGACTTACAAACTAAAGCCAAATATTTATATGCACACTATATATCTATACTAACATGTGTCTATGTGCAAACAATCCTATATTTTTTTTCTTTAAACAACGTAACAAAAAACTATACTTTTATCCTCAAAAGACAATGACAATTTTTAAAAATTTCTTTAGTGTGTTTAAAAGCAAGCCTTGTAAAGATGCTTCCTTGTACCCTGGAGGTGACAAGTTCATATCTTAGACCTCTATGCTTGGCCTCTACCCTCTCTAGGTCCCACTTGTTGGGAGCCTTATGCTCTAAGTCATTTCAGTCACCAAATTCATTTATAGTCATACAACTCTGCTTGGTTTGAATAGCATGAACCAAGCATTGTGACCTCAATTATACTTAAGGTAGACTTGTAATGCTTTTGTATATATTAGCCATAGCTAACTAGGAATTGGGTTTGAGGTCATATCACAAAGGGTGAGGTAATGCAAATGCTTATAAAATTTCATATGAATATCGCGATTTTTAAAGAGTTGCTTTCCTATTTTCTAGAACCCGTTCCAAAGACGAAGAGTATCTAAGGAGTAAGTGAGTGTAGAATTATTTCTTTATTAGGGTGTCTTTATAAAATTATTTCAAAGGTATTTGCAAATAGAATGTGAGGTGTGTTCATAGGCATAATAAATTAGCAACAATCGGCATTTATATTAGCGATAAACATGTTAGATAATGTGTTTTTTGTCAATGAGGTGATGAATTATGCTAAGAAGAGTACAAATAACTGCTTCTTTTTTTTTTGTTGAAAGTAGATTATGAAAAGGCATACAATTTAATAGATTGAAAATATATGTTATATATGTTACGAAAGTTTGGCTTTGGAGAGAAGTGGGTAAGCTAGATGGAGGCTTGCTTATATGATGATCATTTATTGGTCCTTGTTAATGGGAGTCCTACGGAGGAAGTGGTGATTGGTAAAGGCCTTAAATAAGACGATCATTTATCTCCTTCCTTATTTTTATTTGCAGTAGAAAGTTTGGGGGGAATTAATGAGGAGTATCGTCTCAAAAGGACTTTTTTCTGGGGTGAAAGTTAGTGATGTACCCAAAATTTCATTTTTACAATTTATAGATGATACTTTGATTATAAGCAAAGCAATTGAGCGAAATTTGTAGATGACAAAAGCTATTCTATGAAGCTTCAAACTTATATCCAGGCTTAAAGTTAATTTTCATCAGAGTTATATTGTAAGGGTGAATGTGATAAGTGATTTTCTAGATATGACATCTCGCTCTCTAAATTGCAAGGTGGGATATTTGTCTTTTTGGTATTTTGGTATCTATGTTTGGGACAAACCGAGAATAGGTACTTGACAGAAACTTATTGAGGTGCTTAATTACAAACTAACATATTAAAAGCACAAATACATTTTCATCGGGAGTAGAGTAATACTTCTTAATGTTGTTCTAAATAGTGTTCCACAATATTATTTATCTTTTTGAAAAATGTTATCAAGTGCCATCAAGGAAGTAGTGAAGATTCATTGTTAGTTTCTTTAGAGTGGCGTGAAAGAATCATAAAATACAGCTTAGGTTAAATAGGAAAAAGTATGCATGCAACGAATGAGGGCGGTTTGAGAGTGAGAAATATAGAATGATTTAATTTTAACTTATTGGATAAATGGGTTTGGAGAAGATTAAAGTTTTCAAGCTCGCTGTGTTTTAATGTGTTACGGGCACGGTATAGATCAAAGCGCTAACATCCCTTACTCTCGATCGATTGCTCACCACCGTTTGATCTGAACAAAAAAAGGAATAGAATTGGGGACTAGAGGCCTCTCCAATTGAGAGGATAAAGTCTGTGATTCAAAAATGAAACCTCTATATCCTTTTTGGGGGGAAGAGGCCACAGGCTGTCTGCTTAACTAAAGAAGGCATTAGCCACAGTGCAGTATAAAAAGGAAAAACAAAAAAAGAAATTCATTCTAAAAACTTAGGGAGGCTGATATGTTAGTTTCTTTAGAAGTGACTTGTAATGCTTTGGATTGGTGAAGGGTTGTGGAGTGGGTTTGTAAGCAAGTTGATAAGTGGATAGATTCTAATGTTACTGAGTTTTTGGCAATAATTGTTCATTTAGTTTTTGGAGAGATAAATGGGTGAAAAGTATTGCATAAGCAAATTTATACTTAAGGCTATTTTTAGTAGTGACAAGTAAGTAGGCCCGGGTGGTGGATAATGGGTAATTTGAAATGGGCTAATGAGTATGAGAAATTCCTTGGACAAGGCAATTGTTTTCATAGGAAGAGAATTTACGGTACTAGTTGTGTGAGACTATGAAAAGTAAGAGGTCCAAGAAAAATATGAATGCTATGTTGATATGAAGTGTGATGGTAATAAAGACTACAATATTCAATCTGCTTATCACTATATTCATAATTTCTTTATTACAGGTAACAGTTTGGAGATATGTTTAGTGCAAACATTACGCAAAATTTGAAAGTTTAGTGCAAGGAAAGTAGTAGTATTCATGTGACATCTATTACTTAATGCGATTTCAGTGTAGTGAAAATTAACTAAACGGAGATTGATAATTTCATTAGAAGCTTGTGGGTTGTGTGGTATTAAAAATAAGGATGTATTGAAATTTTTCTTTGCATTGCTTTATTTCTATGATTTAGTGTCAATATATGCTTGCCTGAAAATTTACATGAGGCATTATTAAGCATATGTGGAATTCAATGTGAAAAAAGGAAATGGAAGAAAGTTGTAATGGTGTGGTTTGAAATAATATAGATAATTTATCTTCAACGGAATAATATTCTCTAAAATAACAATATGTTAAATGTTAGTGAAATAGTTAATTTTATCAAGTATCATTTTTGAAAGGGGCTTGTAATATGACTTTTGAAAAATTCGATTGAGTATGTGAATTAAATTAATGATCGCTTAACATATATTGTTAATTCTCTTCAGAAACATAATTAGTTAAAATACCCCTTGTACTTTAATTTTATCTTTAATAAAATATTAATATTAAAAAAATAAAATTATAAAATTAGTATATTTTTAGTTTTCTTTAATTTAATTTACTTTATAACATAAGAATTAAAAATTAAAGTGAATAATCTAAAAAATATTAATAATAATCTCGATGTAGTATATAAGAAAATTTGAATTAATTATATAAAATTACTTATTAAATAACTTTGAGTGTGTGAAAAAATCTATAATGTGCAATATCAAGCATTTTTACTTTTTATTAAGAGTTTTACTTTTATTTTGAAAAATATTGTATTTTTTAATTTATACTTCTTTATTTTAAAAAAAAAATAAGGGGTTGAGAAAATTAATATAAATATTTACTTTATTTAAATAAAAAATATATTTACAAATATATAAATATTTATACTGTAAAAAATATTTTTTTTCACATATAACTATTTATTTTAAAAAATTAGTATAAATATATCTATTGACAAAGTCAATTATTAAAATTCGTAATTTTTTTATATTTTTAATAAAAATTATTTACTATTTATTTTATCATTGAATTAGAATAATATAATTTAATTATTATAGAGTTGATATTAAAAAATTTAAATGTATTAAAAGTACATTTATACATGAAATACATTAAAAAAATTATTTTACACAAATATCTATACATAAAACTATATTAATATCTAAAACAAAGTAAATTTATTTCTCTTATTTACTGATAATATCTATATTTTATCTTTTAAATTTTGATTTTTTTATATTATTATTTCATAAACAATGTATGAAAAAGTAACGTTTATTATTAAATAAATGAATATAATAAATATTTTTTGTAAAAAATTATTGTTAACGAAAATATACTATCAAAATTGATTCAATGAAATGTCAAATCTAATATTTAACATTAATTAAATATTAATCTTTTTACTTTTAGTTATATTAAATCAAGTTTTAAAAATTTAAATAGCTTAGAATGCTTTTTACAAATAACATATTTTAAGAAAATTAGTAGCCAAAACATTCTTATGTTTATACATCCTTTTCCAAACACCTTGATCGGTTTCAAACACCTACCTATTCCTTTGTGCCATGTCACTTGGCCTTCAAATATTTCCATCTCATTCTCGAATTCACTGGTTCCACTCATGTTTGCCCAGGTATGCAACTTAATAGCATAATTCAATTATTAAAATAGGGACACTAACAAGATAAAAAGAATTCACAATACATTAAATTAATTCCAAAAATGTAAACAAATACTAAAATATCTCCATTGTTATAAATCAAGAACTATGTTTTTCTGATTATATTATTAAAAACTAGATGATTTTTATAGACGATAAGTCTAATAATACAACAGTCTAAAAGAATTCGAAATAAAAAGTTAGTATCCTGGAGTTTCAAATTTTTAGGGCAAAATCTAGTCGTTGCAGAGACGGCAAAACAACATTTTACCACGACAGCAAAGCAAGAAGCACAGTCCCATTCCGATTTTCCAAAGTACAGAACAACATCAATTTCTAAAAACAAAATCTGGCACAAGTGTTTGCAACAAGTTACATTCTTAACCATGACATTAAATTATTTTCTAATCAATCAGAATTTCCATGTTTCAGACAAACACCAAACACGACATCAATCATGCAGAATGCCCAAAATGTCATCGTCCCTAAACAAATGGAACCTGCAAAACAGAAAAGAAACCCAGCTCGTAAAATTTCAATCCAAAGCGCTATCTCTCACGCATAACGAAAGTAAACAGAACAAGATTCCGAATCATACTCTTTGTCGTTGAGCTTAACCTGGGTGCCACCATACTCCGGCAAGAGCACGTGATCACCTTCCTTCACGGCCACCGGAATCAAATTTCCTGCTTTATCACGTGACCCGGGTCCAACTGCTATCACTTTTCCCGAATTAAGCTGTTCCAAAACCACACAAGGTTCGTTCAACAAACAAACGAAAACCCATTTCACGCACAAGGAGACAAACCAAAAACGCTGAAAACAGTGAGAGTTAAAACCTGTGAGGACTTCTCAGGGAGGAGAATGCCGGCGGTGGTTTTGGAAGGAGGGACAATTTTCTCTACAAGAACGCGATTGAGGCTGGGAATCAAGCGCTTTGCCATCTCCTTCTCTCAAACGCTGTTTCTGTGGGCAAAGTAGAAGTGTGATTTCAGGGACAAGAGAGGAGTGTGGCGTTTTTAAAAACGTAGGAAGCAGGGTTTCTGGATCGGAGTGGAAGGTTCTAGTGACTAGGTGCAATGAAGTAGGGTTTTTAGGGTTTTGAAAAAACCCTGTTAACAACTTAACATGGGCTTGCTTTACAAAACATTTTGGAAAAAGGTATTTGTGGCCATCTTGATTTGTTTGAGACACTGCCGGCCCACCCCAAATAAATTGTTATGTATATGCTTGTTTGTGTACACGTTTTATGGAATTAAAAAGTAAAAATTATTACACTTTTAATTTTTTTAAAGATATTTAATTTCACTTTCATCTTTTTAGTTTAAATTTTATGTAAATTTTCTTCCTCAATTAAGCCTTTTGTTTTTACAATTTAATAAATTTAGTCTTTCCTTATTATTGTTTTTAGTTAAAACTCTTAAATTCACATTTTATACTTAAAACGTTTATAAATTAAATTAAAATTTATTTGAAACTAATCAACTGAATATTAAATTTCACTGACAATAAAAAAAATTAAAATTTTCTTCTTCAAACCCTAACTTCATAGCTTACAAATATTTCAAATTTTATCAAGCTTTTACAATTTTCTTTACTTATATCTTTTATGTTGTAAAATATTGTACACATTAGAAAAATCATAAAATAAATATTCTCAATATGATCTTTGATATTTTTTTATTATTTACTGAGCATTTCTTGGTTTTGCCTAAAAAATTTGCCCCTCTTTTTTTCTTAGTAGGATTTACATGGTAATAACAAAATGTATTCAAAAGAAATTGTCAAAGAAAGTGATATTAATATTTTTTTTTTCAGTAAGTTTATATAAATAGTATCTCTCTGGTTTTTTTTAAAACTAAAACTAAAACCAACTTACTTTTTTCTTTTTGTTCTTGGACAGGTCTGTTTGAACTATTGACAATTACCTACATATCATAACTTCTCATTGCTGTTGTGTAATTAAAATGACATAGTCATGTTTCTCATGCATATACTTCAGAACAGGGTAATACTATCAAGGAAATTTCTGTAAAAACAATTTAATTAAGTATTTACTCAACAAATTTTTACTATTCACAAGGCTTAAACCAAATATTTATCTATATATTTTTAATAAGCTAAAAATAACATTTTGTGATAGGCTATTTTGAATAACTTGATTGAAATAAGTTAAAAAATTGTCTCGAAAATGGTAAGTTATATTCATAAGTTGTTATAAATTCTTCTCAAAGGTACCTAGCTCACATCAAAATAATTAAATGGGTGCAGAGTATAAGGAAACCACACTCTCGTGACTGCCATCATCTCTACTCTTCCGGTTTTTGCAATTAAGGCTCAAAATCAAGGCATCAGTGTAGTAAGTCCCTTCTCTCATCCCAACTCTTACTATTGCTTCTGAAATCATTAGTATGGTAGCACTGGCAATTTTTGAGACAGGTACAAATTACTATCAGCTTAATTACTTAGCAAATGTACTTGTGAATTCTTATGTTGTTGCTAGATTGGGAAAGAAGGGTGTTGAGGCAAGGATGATAAACTCTGAAACATACTAATTTATTTAAACACCTTGATCGATACGTCTCAAACCTAAAATTCGACTAATTCATTTGAGTTGTGACAACAGCAAGTATTGGTGAATCCTCTCGCTGAGGTCACAGAAAAGCTGAAAAAAGCAAATGAAGCTAATGCTTTCATACGAGCAGATAACATATTCTTGAAAGTTGGAGAGGCTGTAGCTTCACTTGCATCAGCAATGAAGAGTCAACCATCAACCAGTACAAAAAGGGCACATACAATTGTGCCACATTACTGAAAATTTAGATTACAGAATATACTTCAAAAGTAAAAATAGAATTATGTATCCTCCCCCTCCCCTCCACCCCCTAAAAATAACAAAAAGTAAAGGAAGTAGCAGCAGCAGCATGTCTAGCATAGAATTCGGATAAAAAAGTATTGTAATACCCGACCGTATGATTAAAATGAAATGCAACTTGCTTCTGCTTAGTAAATTTGACTCGCAAGCTTTTTGACGATAAATAGGAACATCTCATTTCTTTTTAATTCAAGCATTCAAGTTGATTTTCATACACTCTTCAGTACATCTGATTTGGCAAACTACTTGCAAGGATCATAATTTATTATTGCAGCAAGCAGCTTATCCCACAGTAGCTATTGAAATTTTGATTTTTATTGCCAATGGCCGTAGCATGTTGAACAAATTATTTAAAGAGAATCACGAAGATTGACAAAAGGTCAAAGCAGTGTTTTACGCTAACATCAGTAATGTTGAAAACCTTAACTGCTACGTGATAATAAGAGGAACAGAATGTATATCTAAACAAGTGTGAGGTGCATACTCCCTTCTGAAATGTAAAATCAGACAGAATTTACAAGTTCTTAGATGGTGAGGGAAAAATACACTCAGAACTTTATCAAACTCCATAATACATTATGATAAAACGCAAATACCTTCTAGCTGAGCCCTCTGTGATCCTACTCAACATTGCGCTTTTCAATTCCTAATCATGCAGAAAAGGCAATGCTCTATGACTTACAACTGAAGCAAAAAAATTGTATGCACACTATATCTCTATACTAACATGTGTTTATGTGCAAACAATCCTATATTTGTTCTTTAGACAAAATAAGAAAAACCTATACTTTTATCCTCAAAAGACAATGGCAATTTTTTAAAATTCTTTAGTGTGTTTAAGGGCATGCCTTATGAAGATGCTTCCTTGTAGCCTGGAGGTGACAGGTTCATATCCTAGACCTCTCTGCCTGTAGGGATAAGACAGCATACCTCTACTTTCTCAAGGTCCCACATGTTGGGAGCCTCATGCTCTAAAGTCATTTCAATCTTCAAATTCGTTTAGAGTCATGCAACTGTGCTTGGTTTGAATATCAGAAACCAAGCATTGTGACCTCAATTGTACTTAAGGTAGACCTGTAATGCTTTTGTATATATTAGTCATACAGGATTAGTAAAAGCAATTATTTGATGATAATCAAATATTGTTGGAATTGCCTCAAACCTTTCTTGGTAGTACATGGAACTAACTGTATAACAATTCAGGTAAGGTAACAGGTTACGTGATTAGTAAAAGCAATTATTTGATGACCCTCAATCAAATATTGTTGGAATTTACTCAAACCTTTTTTGGTAGTACATGGAATTAACAGTAAGACAATCAGGTACGGTAATAGGAGTTACAGGACCTCATCACCAACACCAGATGATGGACACAGGAATCATAAATATCCATGCCATGCAAACATAACTCAGTCATAGATACAAAGGATAACCTATCTTCATAGTTACAACAGATGACAAGGTTGTGAATTTGAACAGGTCAGACATATATGGAATCGCAAAAACCTTTGGAAGTTAAGGGACTCCACATCAGAGGATAGAAATATTAATAAACTATTTAACTAATTATGATAATCATTAAAAAAATTAGAACAGTGACGTGACCTAGTTACTCAAGGCGTAGCCTTCTAACAAGCCAAACTTCATGAGGAACTTCTTCTTATTACAGTCCAGCATTTCACTCAAGCTACAATTTAAATTCCTCTCTTTTAGAAGTTTGTACCGCGACTCTAATCTTCTCTTCAGGCCATGGCGAAAGAAGCAAGGATAATCAATGACTTCATCAACTTGTCTCCCCATTACATCTACCAAAAACTTGATCCTCGGTTCTAAGGAATTCTGGATGCTCTTGATCAGGATAGGAGGAAAACCAACCACCAAAGCAACTATCTGTCTATCATGAAATCCACATTTCTTCAAATATGTATAATTGGGTACCAAAACCTTGTTCACATCTCTACTCAAGATTGCCGGGAAATTCACTGCCACTGCTTGAAGATCCATCTCTGTCAGACCTATTGACTTGAGAAACTGGGAAGTAGGGCGGAGCCTCTTATCAACACTATAACCCATAATATATGGGTCCCTGACTATAACTTTTCCAATCATTCCATCCTTATTGAGACCAAGGCTAACAAGGAAGTCCACAATTTCCGCTAGCTTTGTTTCGATGCTATAGCTGATAAGCCTAGGATTGAGCAGTATCATTTTCCCAATTTGCTTTTCAGGGATACCCAAAGTCTGAAAGAAGGCCAAAAGGGGACAGAGCTTCTCTTCCACACTGTGTGAGAGTATGTGAGGGAACTTGGCTATGGCAGAAGCAACTTCATGAGGCTTTGTTCCTAGTGTCTTGAGACACTCAACCATGGGCACAATTTTCTCATTAAGATCAAGTGCAAGAATCTTGGGGCATTTTGAAACAATTGCGGGCAATTTCCTTTCCTGAATCCCAATTTTATTCAGATACTCCCAATTTTCATTAGCTCTTTCCTGATGCACAACCTCAAGGCGCTTGCATTTTCTAAACATTCCTTGTACAGAGTTATCATCAAACCCTCTATCTTTGAAAAACCACATCATGCTACTGCTGTTATGGCTGCTTGTGATTTCCATATTATTCTAAAATATCATTTATTTTGAAAATAACAAAAGAAAAATTAGCTCATATATGCAAAAACCATCAAGAGAACAGAATGAAATAGAAGAGCAACATGAAGTTTACATCAATTCAAGTTAAAGAACAATTTTTGTTCAGCTCAACTCATGCAAAACCGTTGAAAACTCACAATTTGGCAAGTGGCAAAAATAAAACAATAAATTAACACTTTTTAAAATATATTAGCATTTTTTATTTTATTTGATATCATTTCAGTTTGCATAAAAATTTTGCAGTAAAAAATCTATCGCAATCCCTACATTATAAAATTATGAAAAATTATATAGCGAACAAGCAGAAGCAGGTAAATGGGTAAATTAACAAATGCGTGTTAGTGGTGTTACCTAAGGGTTGTTGTTCAGCTTATGCGTGCGAACAAACAAAGAAGGTTTTGCGCTCAAAGTTGAAGCGCCAACGGGAGAGGACTCCCCTCACAGTGGTGACTGATAGTGAGGATGAGAAGCGACGATGGAGTCATGGATGGAGAGGATAGACTTCTACACATAAACGACGTCGTTTAGAAAAATTTTCTATTTCATTGCAATTACATGTATGTACATATTAATTTATTTCTTATATTTTACTAAAGGTTAAATTAAAATTTATAAATAACTTTTTAAGTTTTTAATTACATTTTCAATATCTTCTTGTTAGGATTTTATTAAATAAAAAATTTAAAATAACTTAAAGATTCATTGATTAATTAAACTAATAGTTTAATTTGTAAGTCTATTAAAATTTTTAATTAAATCCATATATTTAATAAAATTTTAAGAATAACACCTAATTAAAAATAGATTAAGAAATAAAAAATTATTTATAAACTTTTTAAATAAAAATTTATTTAATTAAATATTTTTACATAATTTATCATGTGTATATTAATTTAATATTTATAAAATAATAGTGATATTTGACTCAACAGTAATTAGAGTTGTTATATTAGATTGAGTCTATCTAATCAACTCATCTAATTTGTTAAATTTAATGAAACTAAATACTTTATTTATGTTGGCTTACTTAATCTATTATATTTTAACTAGTCAAAATATAAGTCAACGAACAAGTTGACCCATTAGGTTTATTTTTATAATAAAAAATATTTATTAATTAATTAAATATTAATTTTTATTATCATAAAATATTTTTTTGTTAATTTTTGTATTTTTTATTTTTTTTAATTTTAAGTGAGTTTGATTATTAATTTATTAGCCTACTAATTTTTTTTAACTTAATTATATTTTTAATCCTTATAAATATAGGCATTTTTGTGATTAGTCTCTACAAATATTTTTGTTAGGAAGTGGTCATTCTAAAGTAAGAAATTAGGAAATGATTTTTGCTGGTAACCTCTTTTGTTAAGTGCTGAGCTAACTTTTGCCTACATGACGCCATACTTGCTTAAGTGGGTTGCTGAAATGAATTGCTGAGGTAGGTCATTTTCAGAAATGAAAAATTCCAAATTTTTAACCTCACTTCGTTCTTATATGTTTAGGACAGATAGTGAAAAACCTTAATCTCCTGCTGCACGTCGTCTTCTTCCTCAGCAATATTGAAGCCATTAGAAGGGTTTTGGAGCAACAAAATTAATGGCAACAAAAATTGGTGGTCCTATTAACCTCCAACAGTAAGAAAAATCATGGAATGGCATTTTGGAGATGTTTGAATTGGAAAGTAAGTAATAAATATCCTTCATGAGTAGGATTTTATATTGTTCATCAAGTTCAAAAATATTTCTTACATTTGGTGTGTGTGAAATGTGCAGTTGAAGGAGTCTTGTAAGTTCTTTGAATGGGCTGATAGAGTTTCTAAGGAAGTGAAATGTCTTTGTTTGAATGAGGTTTCAACAATCATTCAAGAGCATGTGCGTAGAATTGTAAAGTTAGAAATGAAACTTGCATGTGAGAAGGCAAAGAGATTGATTCTATGTTACACAGTTGGAGTTTCTTGGGCCATCATTACCTTGTTGTTTATGTATATTGTCATGATAGGCTAAAATATAATTTATGTCCACTGCAGTAATATGAAATTAGTTTTAAAGTTCTACAATTGTGTTTAGTTATTGTAAATTTAAAGTTTGTACTTGTGTAAATCTGATTAAGTATTGTTCTTTTTAGGTATGTATTTGATGGTGGCTTTAGTCATGTAACCAGAGTTATCATAAATGAAATATCTTTTTTTAACTGTCATATTGTTGAACAACTTGGGGTGTAATGTTTGGATTGTTTAACTGTGGTGTGTAAAATAACCTTGTTATGTTTTGTACATTGTTCTTAAATAAAAGATGTCTCAAAATAACATGCACATCAGGTAATTTGTAAATATTAAAAAAGACGTTTCAAAATTATGTATTAATAACATGCAAGTTTCCAACTGTATAGATTTCCAGTATTAATATCTAACTGTGCAATTTGCCAACAGAATAATTTGTACATGTAAACAAAGAGGCTTCACATAAGTTGTGTCAACATAATATTTTCCATAAGTACATCCAAAATAACCTTGATATGTTTTGTACATTGTACTGGGATAAAAGCTGTCCAAAATAACATGTAATTGTGCAAAATAACATTAGCTTGTCCAGTGTTAACATCTAACTATGCAAAATAACACTAACTTTGCAATTACATTCAACTGACAGCATACATCATGGATTACATCCGACTGTTTTGTACATCTAAAAAAGAAAAATCCCTATTCCCTCTAAATTAAGCTAGTTGTATCAGGATGTGCAGCAGAAATTGGGTCAGCATCAACAACTTTAGATTGGCTTGCAGTAAGGACTGATGATTGTGATCCTTGTGGAGTGTTTGTTGAACCAAGTTGTGCTTCCCTTGGTCTTCCTCTTCCTTTTCTTATTCCTGTTCCAGGCACTTGGTTCAATGGTTCCTATAGCAAAAAAGACAAATTGTTAATAATATAAAAACAAAATATGCCATCAGAATGCCAGCACTATTAAATTGTTTACCTACCTGTTGAACTGAGGTGTTTGGACAAGTAGTCCTGTTATGTCCAAACACTTGACAATTGCTGCATTTGTTTTGGCCTGCCTGGTCTCCTTTTGTAAGAAGTTGGCAAAATGACATCCTCTTCTATTTGTGGCCATTTGTTTTGACCATTAATTGGATTAATATAATGGTCATAACATCTCATATATGCTTCCTTACTATAATATTGGTGAACATAATGGATTGGATTTTCTCCCTTATAAGAAATTGGAGTACAAGCATGTCTACATTGAATGCCAACCAAACTCCAAAAGTTACATGAACAGTAATTTGAGTTGAGGTCAACAACAAATTTTTCTGTAAATAAAGTATGTGTGATCTCAAATTTTAACTGCCCAGCCCATGTAAGAAACCAATTTGCACTATGTTCTATTTCCCTTTCAAGCCTTCTTTTAGGTTTAGGCATGACACCCTATTGTAATTTATTGCCTTTTTCTCTTAGAGTGGAGAATCTTCCCATTAAATACAACCTAATCCACTTTAACATACTTATAATAGGTTTATCTCTAGCAGGCAAAATAGCGCTGTTAAAAGCCTCACATAAGTTGTTCATATTTATATCACACCTAGGGTATAGACTAAAATGATGTTTACACTAACTTTCCTTAGGGATGATAGACAACCACTCATAAGCTCTTAAATCAAGTTCTTTTATTTGACTCATTTTCTTCTCCCAAGCTTCTAAGTAGGTTGCTTTAGATGCCCCCATCATCAACTCTTTTAACAATGCACCCCCTTCAAACTTTTTTTTTCAAGTTACTGTATAAGTGTCTAATACAATATCTATGCTCTACTCCTATTAATAGCTCATCAAAAACTTGGACTAGACCCTAAAAAAAAATTGTTAGTATTTAGTCCTTCAATCAATAAGTATGTTAGGATTTAGTCCCTGTAACAGACTGTATATAATATTGAAGTCAGGAAATCATTACACTTGCCTTTTGTTGGTCAGAAATGAAGACATATCTGTTAGTGGATTGGTCCCCAATGTCCTCTAACAATAAAGTCAAAAACTATCTTTAAGACTCCTTTGTTTCTGATTCTACCACAGCTACTGCAAGTAGAAAATACTGATCATTTGCATCTCTTGCAACTGCAACTAGAAGTTGGCCACCATACTTGGTCTTCAAATGACAGCCATCCACACCAATGAATGGTCTACAGCCAGAGATACAACCTATTTTACACCCATCCAAACACATGTAAAAGCTTCCAAATTTTGGTTGTATGGTGGGTTCTGGTCTAACCAATTCTATTTTACAACAATTCTCCTGGTTAACTCTCTTCAGTTTTGCACAATACCTCCACAATAGTGCATATTGCTGTGTTGCTTCCCCATCTATTGCATCCAAAGCCTTTTTTTTGCATTAAAAGCTGTCCATTTTGAAATGCCCACTGCATAGGTATTCCTTATCTCACTTATGATGCCTTGCAGTGTCATTTTATTATTTATTTTGAGTTTATCCATAATAACCTCTCTCACCCATCTTGTATTGGCATTCTTATTGTCAAACACCCTTGCACAAGTATGTTTTGGAACATAGGTTTTTAACCTATAAGAACTTGTGGTCCTCACTTTACTAACAAATGCCAAAAAGTCACAACTTGAATGATGGCACCTAACTCTACATCTAATGTCATCATTCTTCATAAATTTTATTTGTCGAGCATTCAAAACAGAGTGTTCCATAATTGCATCCTTAAATTGCTTTATGGAAGTGAATTCCATTTCCAGCTAGAACTAAAAATCTTTTTGCATGTTTTTTTGTTGAAAAGCTTCATAGAGAGGGCTATTATTGTCTGAATTCACCTCAGATTACAACTCTTCACTTAAGTAATCTTCATCTATGTTATTCTCAGGAGGCCTAAAATCTGCCTCAACATTAACTTTAGGTCTACATCCCCTCTCCACATCAGGCATCCCTTCAACTTCATCCTCTACATTAGACCCCTCTACATCAGCATTCTCTGCATCAGACCTTTCTGCATCTCATTCCTTGGGCTGCTCCACTTTGTACATCACCCATTACAGCAGGTTGACCCTCTCCATCACCCATTCCTTTAGCTTCACCCTGTACATCACCCATTGTTTCAACTTCCTCCTCTCTATCACCCATTGCTTCAGCTTCACCCTATACATCACCCATTGTAGCAAGTTCTTCCTCTCAATCACCCATTGCAGCAGGTTCTTCCTTTCCATTTGTCAATTCAAAGATCATTTCAGGTTTTTAAACTATGTGCTCTACATATATGTACACATCACATTTCTCCTTCAAGACATAATTAGCCATTTTTAGAGCCTGATCATCCTATGTAATTCCTCTTAAACTATCATCAAATGTTGAATCAGGCATCTTCCACCACATCAAAAAGTCACTTTTATAGCCAAAGTCTCTCACAATGGATAACACCTCAAAATACGACCATTTATCAATGTCAATGTTATGCACAACATCAACTTCTCCCCTTA